ATGTCTTAGGGGTATGATTCTCGCTTCGGGTGCGAGAGGTCCCGGGTTCGAATCCCGGTTCGGCCCAAGGTTTTGCGTAGAACTCGCAGGCAAGAAGGGATGATCCTCACTATTTCCTCGATTCCGTTCTGCTTAAAGCGAAGCAGCGATCCGGAAATGAAAATTTTTGGTGGAATTTCCAACTCAACCATCGTGGCCGGATGGTCTAGGGGTATGATTCTCGCTTCGGGTGCGAGAGGTCCCGGGTTCGAATCCCGGTTCGGCCCAAGGTTTTGCGTAGAACTCGCAGGCAAGAAGGGATGATCCTCACTATTTCCTCGAGGCTTTCTGCTTAAAGCGAAGCAACGATCCGGAAATGAAAATTTTTGGTGGAATTTCCAACTCAACCATCGTGGCCGGATGGTCTAGGGGTATGATTCTCGCTTCGGGTGCGAGAGGTCCCGGGTTCGAATCCCGGTTCGGCCCAAGGTTTTGCGTAGAACTCGCAGGCAAGAAGGGATGATCCTCACTATTTCTTCGTACCTCGATTCCGTTCTGCTTAAAGCGAAGCAGCGATCCGGAAATGAAAATTTTTGGTGGAATTTCCACTTCAACCATCGTGGCCGGATGGTCTAGGGGTATGATTCTCGCTTCGGGTGCGAGAGGTCCCGGGTTCGAATCCCGGTTCGGCCCAAGGTTTTGCGTAGAACTCGCAGGCAAGAAGGGATGATCCTCACTATTTCCTCGAGGCTTTCTGCTTAAAGCGAAGCAACGATCCGGAAATGAAAATTTTTGGTGGAATTTCCAACTCAACCATCGTGGCCGGATGGTCTAGGGGTATGATTCTCGCTTCGGGTGCGAGAGGTCCCGGGTTCGAATCCCGGTTCGGCCCAAGGTTTTGCGTAGAACTCGCAGGCAAGAAGGGATGATCCTCACTATTTCCTCGAGGCCGTTTTCTGCTTAAAGCGAAGCAACGATCCGGAAATGAAAATTTTTGGTGGAATTTCCAACTCAACCATCGTGGCCGGATGGTCTAGGGGTATGATTCTCGCTTCGGGTGCGAGAGGTCCCGGGTTCGAATCCCGGTTCGGCCCAAGGTTTTGCGTAGAACTCGCAGGCAAGAAGGGATGATCCTCACTACTTTCCTCGATTCCGTTCTGCTTAAAGCGAAGCAGCGATCCGGAAATGAAAATTTTTGGTGGAATTTCCAACTCAACCATCGTGGCCGGATGGTCTAGGGGTATGATTCTCGCTTCGGGTGCGAGAGGTCCCGGGTTCGAATCCCGGTTCGGCCCAAGGTTTTGCGTAGAACTCGCAGGCAAGGAGGGATGATCCTCACTATTTCCTCGAGTTCTGCTTAAAGCGAAGCAGCGATCCGGAAATGAAAATTTTTGGTGGAATTTCCAACTCAACCATCGTGGCCGGATGGTCTAGGGGTATGATTCTCGCTTCGGGTGCGAGAGGTCCCGGGTTCGAATCCCGGTTCGGCCCAAGGTTTTGCGTAGAACTCGCAGGCAAGAAGGGATGATCCTCACTATTCCTCGAGGCCGTTCTGCTTAAAGCGAAGCAACGATCCGGAAATGAAAATTTTTGGTGGAATTTCCAACTCAACCATCGTGGCCGGATGGTCTAGGGGTATGATTCTCGCTTCGGGGGCGAGTAGACGATTAGGAGGGGAAGACTATGTACGCATTGATTGGTTTACTTCACCCAGAGAGAAAGAAACTCCGGGATAAAACGTGGGACTTGGCTGTTCAACTATGAAGTACTGGGTGCTGAGTGAATCGAAGCGAAAAAAAGCAGAAAGTACTCTCAAGGAAGTCCAAAATAAGAAATTTCTCTTCGTTAGTCGCTTAGAAGCCCAGGGCTGGGAGAATCGCGTGTCTACAGCAACTGTTGGCTTTATGCCAGCAACCGACACGGCTACAAAAAGTCAGCAGTGAAAACTGATTGCTTCTAATTTCGCTATTTTTTCTATTTACCTGTGCATTTTTTGTTTTTTTCCTATCTCAAAAATTTGATTATCACTAGAATGAATGACTAGGTTCTCGATAATGGTCTTAACATAGGCTTTGATGTTGGTTTTCGCAGTTGAAATCCGCTAAATATTCCTCTACGACCTTCCAAATAACAACTTAACATCTAGTGTTCCATGTGGTTGTTTGGAAGGTCGCATGGAACAGTGGGCGGGCTCAATGGGGTTGGGGCGGCGCCAATGCTCCAACCTAGGCTCCTAGCGCCTAAACCTTGTCAAATCGCCCCGCCACTTCTGCACATGGTCTGCCCTTGCGTACTGCTGCATATTTGACGGGAAAACCTAAATTTCGCCAGAAATCCCGAACTTTGCCTTTAATGGGCGGAGCAAACAAGTCGATACATGCCTTTTCTTATCACCTGCTCGCCTACTTGCTTACTCACCTACTCGCCTGATCGCTTAATCGATGCGTATATTTTTCTTCTTGAATCATCTCCTAATCGCCTAATCGCACAGACGATCGCCAACTCTGAACGCTCCATTAGTGCACGTCCTTCATTGATGCAAGACTTTCGCTTTCACGCTTTTCTTGCTGCTGATCGGATTTTCGTTGTCTTATTTTTGCCTGTCCTCACCGCTGGCTCGGACAGCTTTTTCAGCAGGTGCCTCAGTATAATAGTTACGCAAGAGAAATGATTCGTTTAAAGGCAAGAATCAGGATTAAATTGATGGGGTGATTCCACTCAAATGTGAAAGTAGGGATGGGAGGTGGACCGCCAGTGGAGAAAAAAGGAAAGAAAATCCTGAAATACACAGGAAATACGAGCATTTTGCTCTATGCTGTGGAGAAGTTCAAAAGACAGGCAGGGAGATGAGAGATAATGTGAGCGCGGAGAGCGGTAGAGAAGTCCGAGAAGAGAGAGCATAGCAGATCAACGTGGCGACGCAGACAAGATATCGAACGGTGGGCGGACCATGTTAAGTTTGGTGGAGTCTGTTAGAAGTCCATGGCGCCTAGGGTCCTAGTGACGCGTTTCGATGTAGAAAGGTGGCGCTACCTTTGCACTTGCGTACCCAGCACTTCTAGCCATGGTAAGGGCTTCTTAGGTGGGTCTGAGCCCGAACTTTGCCTTTATTCCACACAAAACTCTGCCTTGCATTCACACAAACATTTATTTCCTAATTCGTTTTGTTACATTGAGTATGGGAACTAACATGGAGGAAAATGTTCGAAGGTAATATGTTGCTCAACGTTTTCATTTTTCATACTCTGAATCCTATTCATGGTACGGCGGATAAAATATTCGAGTTCCTGTGGGAAGTTGATAGACGCAGATTTTTACTTTTTCCAATTTTTAGCATGTTCATAAAAACACGCCGGTATTCGGAACTCATAACGAAGTAAACATAATAATTTTGGCACATGATGATAAGTGGAGGTATAACAGCGTAAGTGTGAATGAGATCTTGGACTTCGGGATCCACGGTAAAAGGAATGCGAGAAATCCCAGCACCGGTGAACCTAAAAGTAGTAGTCATAAAGTAATAATAGTAATATCAGTGGCTAGAAAAACATCGATGAACTCACCAACACACGACAGAAATTGAAACAACTGCCCCTGTTGATCTGAATATCTTTAGGTGGTACTTCGGCCCGTTGCTTCTTGTTTCTATAGAGGCGTTCCAGTCTGCAAGTGGAAAAGCTGCAGAGTAATACCTCCTGATGCTCCGAGCTCTGTCATTATCGCTGCTTTAATAAAGGTTCCAAGCTACTTGCACATAGGTCGCTTAAATAAATGTGTTCTATAGCAAACGACATCTCTTCATCTGTAACCTGCTAAAGCCTTGATCACTCGGGAAATGATGAAAAAAGCCGATACAATCTTAGATTGAGTCATCTATCCGAACAAAATTTAAAGCTTTGACGATTTCACTGACTGCGGCGGGCGGCATGCTAGCAGAAGCGGATAGAAGGCTTGCGAGAGAACAAGGAAGGCGGCGGTCCCACTCACTTTCAAACCCATTACCTCTCCAGCCTGCCTGTCCAGGCCTCTTGTTCTCGTCTACATCTGCTGCTGCCAAGCGAACTAAGATGCGCGGAAAGGGTTTTGTTGCTTACTGAATATGTGGAATTTTTCTAGGCCTTGAGAGACTCCGACGTCAGGATTACCGGGCTAACCAGACAGATGTTGATATTCTCTGGCGAGGGTTTGCGATGGTGGGCGTCTCCATGCACTGAGGGGTGGGCGACACCTGTCGGCGACTCAAAAATCGCCGGGGCACCGGCTGTGAAGACTCGGCATTGTGGTGCCTGCCAATACTGCCTAGCGTTATCGGCCAGCGTACCCGCGGCGTCTCTGCGTCCTCTCGCGTACGACGTACTATCTCGCGTTCTCCCTCTCCTCGCAGCGCTGTGTCTCTCCGTCGTACTACGGCCGGCCTCCTAAGGGAAATTTAGTGTTTTCTATGGTGCTTTTTGCTTTTTCTCCTCACTAATGTTCCTCATTGCACCCCTTGCCTAATGTTTGAACAAAATAAAGCATCAATTCAATCCCAACTCGTGCCTTTTAAGTGATAAAATATAATATTCGCAAGAGAGCACGGGCGGGGCAATATTGTAGGTCGAGTAATCTCCACCAGAAATTGGCAGAGCATGGATCGCCATCAAGAGTTTAGTAATATGCATAGTAATAGATATTCTTGGGAACAGGTATACATAAAGGCCTTTCTAGATAGTGCAAAAGCACAACTATTTCACTTCTACACGGAACTAGTTTATCATATACTTATGGATAGAGGGGTTGTGCGATGTTGCTCCTTTTTCCAATCGTTCATGTTCATCAGGGCTCACGTGCAGTGTTCTATAAAAACGGGAATTTCGCTATTAAAAGAAAAAACAACCATTTTGAACACATGCTTGACCCAAGGATGAGCCAAAAGGGCTACTGGAACCAAGAGCGCTAATTTAGAGAAATTTTCAAGCACTGTATAGTGTTCGCACTCTGCCGCAGTTTCAATAGAATTTTGGGGTTTGATAGCAGTTCCTGCTTTCCCTTGTCTTGTATCGCGTGACCCTTTCTTGTGATGCAAAATTTTGCCGGTCGATAACAAGGTTTAAGTACGCTATCGGTGGAAAGCTGCACAGAGGCTTCTCAAGGAGTCCTTTGGAGTCGCAATGGATTCAAAAGCGGCTGAAGATGAAGTTTGACAGTGGGTTTTAAGCAATACCAGAGAGAAGTATAGGTACTGTTATGGTTCGATCCCCCATGGCGACTAAATTTTGCATTCGGAATGGCGGCCTGTGGGGCTGGTGCCAAATCGCGCTAAATGTCAAAATCAGCTGTCATATTCATCGAAGGCCCATATTGAAGCAAACAGTGACTGCCAAACTTGATTGCAAAATTTAATCGTCGCGGGGGATCGAACCATTAACGGTAGCACTTCATTCACCACTTGCTGGCAGCTACAGTGCGTACCAAAAGTATGTGGACACCCTAGAATCGATTCTCAGGGGTCAGCTAAAGGCTTTTGTGTTATGAAACCTTCACCATTCAACTCCTAGTGGTCGATAACCTACAATGACATTTTCGGCAAAAGATTTCGTTCTAACTTAGCGAACTATTTTTCATGGAAAGTTTTTTCTTTGTATCAAAATTATGTGGACACCCTGAGGCAGATGAAGTTTTTGCATCGATTTCCTAACCTATTTTTACTTCTCCTTTCGTTACTTATTCTGGCATCATTCCTCTTCACGGCAAGCGTTTTTCTGAAGAAGACCGAGCACAGAAATGGGATCCCCATGCTTCTGAACCTTCCTATTGCGAAATAGCACGTCAACCAGTCATGCGTCCTCGTAGGTTTGGAGAGAAATCCGAAATCCTGATGCTAAGCTCTCGACCTTGACTGAGGGTTGTTCTCAATCGCTACTTGTTCAAAACAGGAGAAGAATAGCCTTAATTTTCTCAAATTATTCTTTTCGTACTACTCAACTTTACGCATAAATGATCTTCCCGATCTTAAAAAAGACCAATCGGTGTCTCATTCAATCAATTGAGCACACGACACGAAAGAAGATGAAGAAGGCTTTGTATATGAATGCGGGTTCAGGTTGGCAAGGTTGGAATTCCCACTCAAAAAAGGATCACAACATGATACTTTGAACCCACACAGACAGCGCTTTCGTGGAAATGGTAAAATTAGTATAAAAGACTTTCTGTGGAAATTTCTCTCATAGACCAACTCGACTGGCAGAAAGAAGCTTATTCCTTACTATTCGGGTGGGTCTTGAGGTTTTTGGAGAGACTTTGGTCGGACCCGCAGATGTGCTCGAAGAGACAATTCGGAAGATGTTCATCAAAGGTCTGGGGTGGTTCCAAAAGGAGGGGGACATTGAAGTTTGGCTTGCCAACATGTCAGGTAGACGACTAGGATTATAATGAGGTGCTTGAGTCCCGGCTACAACCTTTTTCGAAAAGTCATGGTCGCAAATCACTTGTTTTGCAGGGGAGGTCCCTGACACCATTCCATTTGGAAAAATGCTAAACGCAACGGCTTTGATTGGCAAGTCGGCTAGCGTATTCCTCAGACTTCATCCTTATTGAAAACGTAGAGGTATCGTGGTTCGCGGTCTCTACGTCATTGAACAAAAAAGTAATATCACAAGTGACCTAACACGTCGGTGAAATTTGCTAGTTGGGAACAGATCTGCAAGACATGTATCCAGACCCCATTCATAGCATGCCAAACAGAATGGCTCAACTTACTAGAAACTTTGGTAGGCCTACCGATTTCAGATTTTGAAGATATTGCCGTTTTTCAAAAAGTGTCCACATAATTTTGATACAAAGAAAAAACTTTCCATGAAAAATAGTTCGCTAAGTTAGAACGAAATCTTTTGCCGAAAAATGTCATTGTAGGTTATCGACCACTAGGAGTTGAATGGTGAAGGTTTCATAACACAAAAAGCCTTTAGCTGACTCCTGAGAATCGATTCTAGGGTGTCCACATACTTTTGGTACGCACTGTATTATATTAAACCGTTCAGCTGAAAACGAAATACGGCTTTGTGGTGTATCCATGCATCCCTACAATGTGTAAGAAACCGTTTCCAAAACGCCGCTCGCCCTGGAAGACTCCTTTTGTTAGGTGCGCTACTTTACGTGATCACGTTAGTTTAACAAACTGCATTCAAAGGTGCTTAAATCTGAAACGAAAGGAAGAAAGGTCTCCAGTCAGTTGTGACGAAAGGGGTCGGTCCAAGGTCGATGCGCGCTTCAGAAAAAGTTCGAAGCGTACTATGGGCTGTATAATGGTTGAAAAAGTATATATATATGTATATATATTTGACTTCAGTGATTAATTAATTAACCAGTTTAGCTCCGCACACTACCGCGTGCATGACACGGAAGGGCTCCGTAAAGCTGGCCAGCCGGCGGAGCGTTAGGTTCCGCCGCTAACAATAACTTGATTCGTGAAATGCGTTAGCTGGCCTTCCATAGAATGCCCATTTTTAAGCCAACCGTCTGATACGCGCGGTGGAGTGCGGAGCTAAAGTGGTGTCTGTAAACAACCACCATGCATTGGATGTCAGGATGATTTAGCGGTCGAATAATATTGATGCCAATGATTTTGCAATAGAAATACCCATTATCGTATATCGCTAAACATCCATCATACATTCTTAGGGACTTTGGGACTGTAGCGGTCGAACGGTATTTTATGTTGATGACAACGCAATGAGATGATATTGAAGTGAAATGCGTTATCTAGAATATGGTTTTAAATGGTCTCTATGTTCCTACGAATATCGCAATTATCGGCCCTTATCGGCCCTTATCACTTCCTGTACCCCACCGAACATGTTCCCGTCCCACCCTGTACATCACTTCTTGGAACCAACGCCCCACTGCTGCTGGGACGCGCGCTATGAATTTCGTGAAATTTGCGTTTCAGCGCCTCTTATCAGATCTTATCAGTCGTTATCACTTTCTAACCCCACCAAATATGTTCCCGTCCCACCCTGTACATCACTTCTTGGAACCAACGCCCCACCACTGCTGGGACGCGCGCTATGAATATCGTGAAATTGGCGTTTTGGCGCCTCTTATCAGATCTTATCAGTCGTTATCACTTTCTAAACCCCACCAAATATGTTCCGTCCCACCCCCTACACCATACTCAAAATACAGCGTTCCATGCCTGCAGCGCTTTCAAGATTCGTCATTAATCGACGGGGTACCGAAAAGTTATGTGAGTGCGACATGTGGCTTCATTTCGACCACTGTAACAGGGAGTTCAACTTTTTCTTCTCAACATTTGTCTATTGCTTATTATGGTTCGGTAGAATGAAACGTTTGTTTCGCAAGTTTTGGCGAAGACCTGCCAAGTTGCAATGCATATTGCGCGGCAAACAATGAGCTGGAGTGAGAGCTCAGCAATTTCTTTGAGGCTCACAGTATCGCTGAGAGCCGCCAATGGAAAGAGGAAGAACAGGCACCAGCTAAGAGGGGCGAAGTATTAGCATCCAATGGCTGCACAGAACTACTCAAAAGAAGAATGACCAAACAGATCGCCGGAGCTTGGGGGAGAGTGCCAAACAGCACGGAACTGCGCATTTTCAAATAATAGCAAAAATCTATGCGCTGGGTTTTATCGTATATCGAACGGAGAATTTCCAGTTGTCTAGA